AAATGAAAAGAAGCCTTCATCAAGAGTGCATGTACATGCAAAATTAAGATTCAAGGTTACAAATGAACATTATTGTAATTCTATCAGTTTCCCTCTGCCCTAGTAATGAATACCAGGTCCCAGTTTGTCTTCTTGGTATCATAGCAAACAATTGCTATGGCACTCTGAGCGCAAGGATGATCTCATCATTGGGAAGAATAAATAAATTCGGAAATTTTTTTGTAAATAAAAAAGTTCCAATCACTCACTTTAAGAGTAGCTCCTCTCTATAAGTGGGAGTGGTTATTTTACGTTTAGTGCTCTTCTTTTCAGTCACTGAAGCGGGTTGGTTTGAGTTGGTGGTTGTAGCAACCACTTCAACTGTAGCCCCAGGGACGTCCATTGGTTCTTCGATATTATTATCATCAGTTATGAGAACTGCTTGCAATGGGCACTCTCCTGGAGAAAAAGAGCAAGGGAAGTCAGGCGTGCACAATTAATTAAGTTACAGGTAAGTAGTAAATGATCAATTCATACATGTACATGTAATTTTTAAATTTAAAATATTTTGTCTTCATAAATAAACTACCAACCTGTTGCTGAGGTTTCTATATACTCTTCTCCTTCTCTCTCTTCTGTACTTGGTAGTGATGGTTCCTATGATAACTAGCATCAATGCATCAAGAGGTACTGCTCTACTCACCACATCTCCTGTTTTACCAAATTTCCGCGGGCGACCAACAGGAAGTGAAGGCTTTCTGTCACCGATTGTACCCGTTGATAAAAACCTTTCCCAGACTTTTTGAACACCACTGACAGAAGCACCCAATTCCTTAGCAATGTCACGATACCTGAGTAATTAAGAATATGAAGCATAGGAAAAGGGTCCATGTGCATAATATGGCATCATTCTAAGTGCCTTTTAGTGAGAAAAGATGTGCACTTCATTTTTCAATTATTATTAATTATTTTAATAAATTATTAAGCACATGGAAATGTACATCTTTGATTGTCTCCTTCAGCTGTTGTCATAAAAAAGTTTCTTTGAGCCATTTTTGATAAAATAGCCTGTACAGGAACTTTGGCACAATTTCAGAGCTTAAAAAATTTGTAAAAAATTCAATTTTGATCAGAATCTGCTCAAACTTTCTATACAACATAAGAACATGTATATGCATCGGAAAAAATTATAAAAATGGAAAATTCTCTCCTAGTCATTTTTGGCGAAATTTGGCCGGAGACCGTGTACTATAGTACAGGGACTTTTAGCCAATTTTAGAGCAACTTTTAAAATTCGTAAAAAATCTAATTTTGATCAGAATCCGCTCAAACTTTCTATACAACATAAGAACATGTATATGTATCAGAAAAATTATAAAAGTGAAGAATTCTCTCTTTTTCATTTTTGGCAAAATTTGGCCGGAGACCGTGTACTATAGTACAGGGACTTTTAGCCCATTTTGGAGCAACTTTAAAAATTCGTAAAAAATCCAATTTTGATCGGAAACCACTCAAACTTTCTACGTAACATAAGTACATGTACACGTATAAGAAAATATATATAAAAATGGAGAGTTTTTTAAGAACATGTACATATATCAAGTAAAATAAACAAATAGAGGTGTACATACCTCTTTCCTCCTTTACGATAGTTAACTATTGTGCGTCGAATCTCAGGAGAAAACTTAATTCCAAGATTCTTTTGTCGCTCAGCAGTTGCGATCCCACCAGTAGGAGCAGAGGAAGAGGGAACCTCAACTGTGTTATCCACATTATTTATCTCGACCTCATTTGACGCAAGAATATCACCAGAGCCTGTTTCCTGGCTGACTTGATTCAAAGCTGCTGCTAGAAGCTGAGCCACGCTCTCTTGTATCCCCTCTGATGAGCTGGAACTGTCTCCTTTCCCTCTTGCTATAGTCTCAAGAAGTTTCCTCAACAATTGCTCGTCATCAAGCTCAACATTGTCCGCCATTTTGTTTCAAGCAAAGTTGTGCGCATGCTCAATCCAATTATTAAATAAGATTAACATTAATTTTAATAATCAATAATTAACTACTTTGCAGTGGTAAATATTTTCTGCAGTTAGTTGATCCACAGAAGCAAGGTTTCTGACCCAATGAGACCTCATCAGTCTCACTTCCCTCGCAATAGCTAAAGCACAGCTCCTCCCCAGCTCCAACAGCTGCACTCGTAAACAAACAAAGACTAGGGACAATGGAGTCACGACGAACGGCTACCATCACCAAATTAGGAGAGCAAGAGTGATTTATGAAGCGAGTGTAGTTGCCATAAAAACGAGCATCAATGCAAGTTGTCATGATCACATCAGACCCCTCACTATTTTCCTTGAACTGTACTATGTAACAAGAGTCTTGAGGACACAGACTCTGTAATCTTTCCTTGGCTGTTAAGACTCTAATAATCTCACCAACATACTCCCCAACGAATGTTCCTATAGGAATGTCCACCTTAGCAAACAACCCATCTCCTTTATTACTAGTCTCCTTTACCATTACTTTATCAAACACAGTTCCTTTTCTTTGTGTCACTCTATTGATACAGTCTAAGGTACACGTACACTTTGAATTGCATTCAAATATTGGACACGTTGTCTCTGACATAAGTTCCTGAGAAAGTCTTCCATATTCATCATACGAGCATTTCTTTATACAGGGACACTCCTCCTTTTGACAAGTCACATGACAGTCACATGATTCATAAAGGACATGGTCAAGTTTCAACTGGACACCAGGACCAGGTACACATTGATCAATGATCTCATAATTCATTGGCTTATGGTTAACCACAATAAGTTTGTAATAATCTATTTGAGCATGCTCAATTGTTGTTGGTAGGAAAAGTTAAAAGTATAATAGTACAAAATGAGTCTATATATTCAGTAATATTATACATATACAATACAAAAAATGAAGGCAAATAGCAGTACAAAATTATATATATTTATCAGCAGGAATAATGCATTACATTAAAATAAATAATTATAATTCAGTGTCCATTGTATCAGAGTAGCAGTGCTGTATTTCTGGATACATATTCTCTC